CAACACATTAACAAGAGAATTCTGAGTAAAACCAAAGTTACTTTCCCTAGTAACTAGTTACTTTGAAAGTAACGAGTAACGTGAAGTAACATAGTTACTTTTGAGAGAAGTAACTAGTAATGTAACTAAGTTACTATTTTAAAGTAACTTACCCAACACTGTAAACAACTAACAGCTTCCTCTTTCTGTAAGAACATACAGATTTAGAAAAAGGGAACCTCAGCTCAGAGTTCTTAGAATAACTCTGTTTTATTTGTACATACACACACACACAGACACACAGAAAAGTATAAATAAAGCATGCAGACAGTGATGAGACGCAGGTCGTGCGTCCATGACTGCCCTTGCGAGTGAAAGACAACTGCAGTGTTTGTGTTTTCTAACTCAGGTGTCTCAAGCTGAAGAATTGCGGGGTGATTCTTAGAAATCCCCTGATAAAAGGTTAAATCATCACGCAACCTCGAATGTTGCTGTCATCTTTCTGCTCCTGTAAAAGGAAACACACATAGATTCATCTGCATCTTTGTCAGGTGGGGTTAACTTCGCACAGTCGTGTTACATCAGTAAAGTCTTGACAGCTTTTGTCAGCTTTTACCAGTCAGTCAGGTTTTTTTTCTCTTTCACTCATTCGTTCATACATTCATTCTTTCTTTCTTTGCTGATAGTGGAATCAATTGTCGCATTACATTTCCACTCTTAGCAAAATGACGTCATTTCAAAAAGAAAAAGAAGAACTTTAGCTCGGATTACATCGCTGAATCCTTTTTGGGCCGGGACTCTCATTTTCTAATTGTCCCAATTAGAGCCCATTTCTCCTGAGCCCATTTTAATGTGGAGAAACTCACTTGTAACAATTTTCTCAACGACGTGTCGTACAGCGCTTTCTGTTCTAATCGTGCAGATCTGCTCAAACGACAGAGATTATCAAACAAAACTTTCAGTGCACTGTGAAAGTATCAAAATAAAAAGGCCTTGTTAAGTCATGACACAAGCTCCTCATCTCAGGAGGGTAAATCACACCATTAGCATGATTTATCATACCATCATACTAATTGGCAGGCTCAGCTTCACAACAAAAGAAAAATCATCAGCTAGATTCACTCCAAACCAGCCATCAGCTGCACAACATAAGCCTAATGTCTTATTAGCTATGAGTTTAATCCCCAGGTCTGTGCTCTTCACTCATTTAGGCCACAGATTTTATTCAGTTTTCCTTTTTCCCCGTCATCACAAAACATGTGACATGTTGTCATGCACTTCACACAAGAAGTTTGTTCTGACGTATTCAGAGTTGTGTATCTAAATACAGGATTCACTCACACATCAAAACAGGAAACTCAGTGTTTTAGAGTCTCCACTCTAACAAACTCCAACACATCCCATTCACTTGTGCTAGAATTCAATCATAATCTAAGAACGATCAACTAATTTGCATATCAGCTATTAACCCACTAAGTTGACAGGACAACAAAAATGCATGTTCAAAATAGTATCACAAAAGACAATTTCCCTCATACAGTAAATTACTTGTGCTGCATCAATCAAGCAGGAAGCTTCTCCCAATTTACTATATCAACAACTAAATTTATTGTCTGATCACTGGTTGGTCAAACCAGAATCTTTTCCCACAAAAGTTTAAATTGTTGTCCTGCAACCTAGAGAGTCAATTTTTTGCATTGGATAAATTCAGTATTTGATAACAAGTGTCTGCTAAATTGACACTATTTTAACACTGATGAAGGATAACAAGCTAATTTTCATTGCATGGGGGTTTGTGTTATTAGGCAGGTCTAATGCATGTCTGTAGAGCTGCATATCCAGCAGAGCATGTTCTTAAAGCTGCCTTTCCTACACACTTCTCTACTATTGTTTGATCATTTCTTAACTAATGTGCTATGAGTTCCACTGGTCTTTGCATCACACTAAGTGATTTGGACAAGATGATAAACAGACTCACATGCTTAAAATGTTGTCTAATCTTCATAAGCTCTCTTGTATTTGTGTTAGTAGGGTTAATGCATGTTCTGCTTGTTGGTGTGATTTTGTATATGTTTCTATTTTCGCAGTGTTTCAGACTCCTTCTCAATTTTCCAACTTAAGCAGTCAGTTTTCTTTTCCCCTAGTTTGCTAACCCAAATTTTGATTTCCCACATTAAATAACAAAATTCCTATGTGTTCTCACCACTCCTCTCACTCTGTTGTCCTCTCACTCTTCAACAGTCCAATAACAGGCAGTTCTCCTTCAGCTTCGTCCTGTGTTCCACTGTGCCATTTTACTCCAAAGGTGGCAAATGTCAAACTCCAACAGTCTCCTCAGTTCTCCTCAAACGTTCTTTTCACCTGTGAATTTGCAGCTTGTTGGAAACACAGTGCCATTCATCCAATCAGGCAGGATGATGGGTTTGCTTTTCTTCTCTGATGCTGTTTGTCCACACTGCTGCTGCTTGCTGGGACTCTTTGCTCAGGACTTTGCTGCTGTCTCTTTATCTGCCATTGCTCTTTGGAGCTGCATTCCTTGTCTTCAGGGAGGAGTGAGAGCTGCTTGTGAGTTTGAGAGACACATGGTGTCTTGGCCTGAATGTTTCCAATGACGTTAAACTATAACTTTCTTCCGACCGCTGCATGTGGAAAATTGATTCAGGTCTGCTTTTCATCTGAAAGTGACAAACTAAGACATGTTCATTATTATTATCACTGCTTAATCAACACATCTCTCTCTGTTTTTGTGCACAGTCCTTTCTTAAAAGCAGAAAATGAGATTGTAGTTGTTCTTGGCTGATCAACACAAAACCTTTTTCCTATGATTATTTTTCATCTACAATGTAAATTTTGTCTCTTTCTCACTCTTTTTTTTCTCTTTACAATAGCTGGTGACCTGCAGAACCACCACTCTCACAATTGGAGGCAATTACTTTTACACAGCGCACACAAACACTGTGACGTCAGACACATTCACACTCACTTTTTCATCTGCATAAATAAATCATATGGCTGGTGATATGTGCCATGGTGATCCATAGGTATGATCACAAGTTTATTTATTTTTCAACCCAACAAAACAAATAAACTAAAACATGATGCTGATGCTATGAACACTCTACACACATGAGTCAAGATGCAGAAAAACTGCTCACGGAAACGCTGCACACTCCAGTTATCACAGTTATCATAGTTCTGTTTCCCTCTCTTTGAGGAGTTCTCAGCCAGCTCTCGATCTGATAATGTGTAGCTTGCTCATCAGGGGCCCGTTCTTCGTACGTCGCTTACTACATCCAAGATCAAATGACACATCCAAGACCAAATCATCGCGCTAACCGTGAGCTCGCTAATCCGGTTCTCCGAACACACCTGCTGTTGACGATTAGTACAGCTGGATGAAGTAATGTGAGATCACTGGGTGTCGTAAAAGGGGCTACGCATCAATAGTAGAAACATTGATCGGCAACCCTCTGATTGGTCGGCGAAAATGTCGAAGGAGTGCGCTCGGTATTTTTCGGACAACGCAACCTCACACAGTGGTTGCTTTTCCCCACACAGTGGCAAAGACTTGCACTTTCATATTCAATTCAGCTTCTCCATCATGTACTTTTAGATGTTTCATACAGGGTTCAGCATATTAGTTGTTTTCACAGGTGTGCTCTATATCTCAACAATGGCTCATAATAAGACGACAGTCTTTCACACAGGTCAAGTGCCTCTATGCACTTCATTAGTTAAAATATTTACCTATATCACTTCACCTCATATGTCATTGTACTGAATTTGAGCAACCCTAAGCTTAATGCAGATTACTTTTAACAATTGTCCACCTCATTTAAATCTATCGTCTGGCACACAGGCTGTTGTCGAACAGGGCAAGCTAAAGAATAAACATTTTGTGTCAGCAAGGGGTGGGGGAAAGCCATTCACCAGAGCATATCTCAAGTGCTGCTGATGTGGACTGGCCTTCTCCACATGCTCTTCTAGGCTGGTGTGTTTTCTGAAAACTTCTAACATTTGAATCTCTTCCATTTATAAGCCTGTGATTAACCGCACGGCTCAGGTCCGCGTGAAACCCGCGCGACCGTGCTCGCGTGAACCCGCGCAGCTAAGGAGCTGTCGCTCTCTTTTATTTAAAGTCCAGCATAAACGTCTGTCACCCTCTGACACACTCTCGGTTGCTTAGGAACCCATGATAACAACAACAGCGGGTGTCACAGACCACGTGTTCTGCTCCACACCCACTCACACAAACACACTCAAACACAACAACAACAACACAAAATAGGCCTATTGTCCAGCACAATCTGGACCCCGCGGAACTTCTCAATTCCCCACAAAGAGGCGGACCCCACAAAGCGGTCTACATTTCGGCCAACTAAGACGGCGAACCAAAAAAGTTCGAACTGCGCAACTCTGCGACTTAATGCTTCTGTACAAAAAAACCCCACTGAGCGGCTTTGTATATCTCCCCACTAAGACGGCGAATTTTAGTCCCACTAAGCGGCCACGGACAACGCCCCACTGAGCGGCGAAGACGTACAGTTATAGAGTTGGACTCTAAACTTACTCGGTGTTGCTTAGCGTGTAGTATAGCCTCGGATCCCGCCGATCGCCATTCATCAAGGAGAGAAAACAGACAGCTAATCCACAAAGCTGGCAACATCTTACACGGTCACGTTCCACAAATGCCCCATGGCGGCGAAGACTGTACAGACGGCAAATTTTAGTCCGACTGGAGCGGTCCACTGGATCATACGGCCCCTTAACTGAGCGGTCGATAGAGTTGGACTACTAAACTTTACTCGGTGTTGCTTTAGCGTGTAGTATGAGTGCCTCTGGATCCTGGCCGATCGTTCATTCATCGAAGGAGAGATAAAATGAAGCTAATCTCACTGGCACCGATGACAAGATTCTCTACGTCTCGGGACTTTATACTACAGGAACTTCACGTGGCTGATCGTCAGTCTTCAGGTTCTCTGTTCCCTCGTGAATTTGTGACTCACAGCTCGCTCTAAGGACCAATAGAATGATAGGTTTGTAGCTTGAACCTATTCGCTGGAACGTTGAAGACAATATAATTACACAGCAAGCAAGACACGAAGTAGGCAAAGTTCTTCATGTTTCTCGTGCACGGGAGAGAACCGGACAAACGCCGTTCCTTCGCTTGACCCCAGTTGCTCTCGTCCGTCTCCCGTAACACTGCTCTTTTATTGAGGTTACATGAATATGCATAGGTTCATTAACATATGACGTCTACATACAAACAAAGAGTACCTTGCCTGTGTGTGTGTGTGTGTGTGGGGGGGTCAGAGTGTGACCCCATAAATGACTTCCCTAAACCTGCTGGTCTGGAAGTCCAGCAGTTCATCTAAACAAAAGGCACTTAGCCTAAAACAGATATAGCCACGTTTATCCTACCATAAAACAATAAAGACAAGGTACGACCTCTTCCCATGCTCCCAGGATGTAGGTGTGCAATGCACACCAAGCCTTTGCAGCCTGCTAAAGATCACACATCCTATCACTACACAATTGATTATACACCTCTAAGCATATATGGTTAAATATTTCTAAGCATAAATGACAATCAACAATACAAAACCTAACATCCCCTGTCAATGACTAATTTAAATTTCTCATCTAAACTTAGTTTAGTCTTGCAATTTTCATATATTGTTTAAGGGCTTTCAGTCTCTTACAATGAATTATGCTCAAATCAAAGAAAGTGGTCATGTTTTCCCTGGAAGTTATGCCCCTTGGAAAGGAGTTCTGCAGGAAAAAGCGGATGCACTGTTGCTTTGAAAACTTTACTGCGGTCTTGAGTTCTATACTTTGAAAAGCTAAAATACCAGTATGAAAAAGTGTAAATCCTTTACATTTTGATAGGTAACATTTTGTTACACTATTTGGGCTAGTTACAGAGCAACATGAAAGGAAAATGTAGGCTCCAGTTAGCTAACATTAACCAATATCAAATGATGATGTGATAATCAAACACAAGGTGAGTTGTGAGCCATAGCTGTGTCTACTAGAAGGCCTTCTTCTAAGAACTGTCTGTTAGTATTATTATCAGTGTGGCTGCTCTGTCAGAAGTGCATCAGCAGTTACATTACCAGCAAAGGATGACATAGTTTCTGCAGTCAGTAGCTATGGGAATGTACACAGACCGAAGATTCAGTGTAACAGTTATCCAAATGATGTAGATCCTCTTTACGAGCCCCTAAAATCAAATAACATTAAATTAAATCAAGGACTTGAGTTTCCAGCTAATCTAAGCTCCATGCAACCTCTGTGGTCACTGTAGTAATGACCTGGCCATCCATTTATTTTGTGGGACAGTAAACAACATGCACAGCATTTAGAAAGCTGAATACTTCTTGCTGTACATCTTCCACATGTTACACACAGTGGCAGTGGTCGACCAGTAATAACAAAAATGAGTTCATTATAATAATAATCGTGCTAGCGAAAGCTTTTTTGTTTAGTAGCAGTTTGTTTGTTTAGTATGACTTGGTATTTTGTATCTTTTCTAACGTCCCCAATACAAAGAACATTTAATTTTGTTGCTGTATAGATACCTCGTATTGATCCTGCCACGCCATGTTTCTCCAGAGTGATCGCTGCTGTGATTAGGTGCTGTACTGTTGTGATTTGTCAGATTGTTTAGCGGGGTTAACTTACGTATTTCATTGCCTATTTCTAAAAGAAATCAAAGATAGTTTTGAGGGGAATCTTAATTATAAATAATATCATATGGTCCAATACAAAATTAACACTATGCATAGATGTGCATGTCTGTGGAGATTTTTCTGCTCACAGCTTATAAAGACTTGTGTGAAACACAGGTTCATGCCACAGCACTGAAACTGCCCAAAATTTTGAAAGTTTTGAATGATTGGTCACTGCACGTAATAAACTAACTCCCTGCCCTACTGCCATTCCCTCATGTCTAAAATGTCCTGTCCCTCCCTCAATTCCAAGGAAGCCTCTAAATCCTACTTCACCTGGGCCCAGGGTGCCTGTAGCTTATTCAGATCCCATGCTGATTAGTAACAGGAAAAGACCTGGGGCCTGGATCTCCTCCATACCTGCTTCATGCCCTGGGGGATGGGGCTGTGGCTCCCCACACTCCCTAGCAGATCGTTACATGGAGAAACCTTTGGAATGCAAGCATGCTGATCCACACAGGTATGCACACAGGTGTACACACGGGTGTTCACAGACGCGGACTACAGCTTTCTTGGCTGCTGCCTCAAAGCACATTGTGCGCTGTCTATCTTGCGTGCTGCACAATATCGTTTAATATTTAGTATCTACTGATATCTACTGCTAGCTAGTTTATTGGGATGGTGCTGTTTTTTTTATTATGTTGCTCTTTTTTTGTTTGCTTTCTCTTCTGTTTTTTTTTCTCCATACAGGTGATCCAGGTGTTTTTTTTTTTTTCTTCCTTTCTTCCCCCCTTTCTCACCGTCTCTTCTCCCCTCTGGTTTTCTTTCTCTCCCTCTCTTTCTTTCATTCTTTCTCCCTGTC